AAGTTACTCTCTGGCCTAATCGCCTCAGTGTAAATGAGTTTTTCCTTGGAAGCTGGGGAGGCGGGGGCAGGAAAAAGAGGGTCTGTGTACCCACAGCGCAGATGGTGGCCTGTGTGAAGAGGCAGGGTCAGCTGTGGCCAGTGGACCTGTCAGTGGGAGTTTCTTCCAAGCCTCCCAGCCCTGTGCGCCTGGAGCTCCTGCTCTTCTGTTTGGCCCCTGCTGTGGTTAAAGCAGTTCTAATGCATCCCAGATGCCAGACCTCAATGGTGCCCTCTGATCCTGCCACTTCTCCTGCCTGCAATTTGGAGAGGGGGCCACAGCTCAGCCCACACCTTGCACTATCTCCCAGATTTGTTCCCAGAACTTCTTAAGTATCTGGCTATTTCTTCCACCTGTAGGATGGCGACTCTGCTACCTGCTTAGCAGAACCATTTAAAGAGCAAATGCAGGGTTGATATGGAAGGCTCCAGCACATTCGATGGGCTGACTGATGTGAAGCGTTTACAGTAGGCCCTGGGAATGTCGGAAGGACATGGTAGGTATAAATACTACATACAAATCCACTTCCTTACTCTCTTTTCTTCTTTCCTTAGTTTTGCAAGTATCTGGATGAAACAAACTTTAAAAAGTGAGAACAGCTCCTTGGTTTTCTTTTTTTGGGGGGTGGACTGTTTCTTAGGCAGTATGAAATTTTTTTGTAGTAGCTCTTTTTCTTAGCATTTCCCACCCTCTTCTCTGCTGTGACGGGGGACTGTTTTCAGCCAGAGGTCTTTAATCGTTTGGGCTTGAGTTACTGAGGTCCCTAGCTAAAATGCAGTCACGGTGCTGGACGGGACACCACATAGACTCACTAACTCCTGGTCCCTCTGCTTAATGTGAATCCTTGCCCTTCACCATCAGCACAGGGTCTTCTGATGTCTTACTTCATTTTAATGTCTCTGGAAGAGAAGCACAGAAGAGCTCATTATTCCTGTTTTACTGATGGCGATATCCTAGGCCTAGAGAGGTAAAGCGACACAGCTAATCAGTGACAGTGGAATTTGCTCTTGAATCTCTCCAATTCCCAGGGCTAACGTTGCACCCAGATGGCGTATGGGAGTACAGTTGGAGGAGCTCTGGGAAGCTCGCTCTGAAATCTCTGATGCCTTAAATCCTGCCATTGATGCGTCATTGTCTTGAGCTGTTGCTGCCTGAGGAATTCACTCTGATTTAGTTAAGACCCTTGTCTCTGGCAATCCCAGGGAGGCCTAAGAACAAGGTGCTCTGAAAGACGGTGCAAGAAAAATCGCCAATCCAGGTACAAAGCCTGCCAGCCTCTCTGTGGCCCTGTCGGGTTCTCTCTGTGCAGCTGCAAGGTGGGAGGAGGAGAGTGACACCGCCACCAAATGCTCGCCGCCCGGGAGTCCAGACATCACTCACCTGCCAGCTTACACTGATAGAAGCTGTGGTATAGGGGAAATTGCAATCGCTTTGAGCCAAGAGGGGCAGTATTCACATCCCAGCCATGAGCCTCAGTTTCCTCGTTTCTAAAATGGAAGTAATGATTTCCCTACTTGCTTTACAGGGTTGTGAGGCCCAGTGAGAAATCCCACTGCCAAGTGCTGTACCGCAAAAGGTAGGAATGTTGTCTTGTCAGGCACCCGTTGTCACGTCAGGCGGTTAAGTGCTTCCCTTACCTGGTGAGCGAGGCATTTATGCATCAGGAACAGTCCTACAAATTATGAGCACCAAGATGAACCATCACATTGTATTAATATTTTCACACCACTTAACTCTCATTAAAATGTACTTTGCTGAATTTAATATGTGATTTCAAATGACACAACATATTAAGTGCTTAATATACTAGAAATTATGAAACTATTATAGTGGATGCCATATGAAATAATTAGACTGAATTAAACTTAGCAGCCAAGTGAAGGAAAGACTTCAACTTATAATGTCTTAAAGTAGCTTAAGCCACCACTGTAATCCCCAAAATAAATGTCCAGAAATTATGATCTTTAAATAAAAATAGAAACTTAATCTGTACTTATACCCAGCTCTGTGGGGATGTGGTGGTGTGGAGTGTCGTTGCCTTGGGGAAGTGAGGGGCCCGGACCCACCCCAGGGCAGGGTGTCCACTTCCCCTGGGGCCTGGCTAGAGGATGACTCAAGTGGCTTGAGTAAGATGGAGGGCCTTCTGCTGAGCTGACAGATTGGTCTTCCCTGCCCCAAAATAGCCTATTGACAAAAATAAAATAATAACAAACCCCCTTTATTTAACATTTGTTGAGTGCTTCCTTTATGCCAGGCATTTTCTCATTTGATCCTCATAATACATCTATGTTATAAGCCACTGTTTTTAGATGAGGAAACTGAGGCTCAGAAAGTTTCTATGACTCATCCAAGGCCTTACAACCAGAATCCAGTGTTCACCCCTGCAGCACACATGGTCTCCTCGTTAGCACACGTGTGAGTGTGTGCATGTACATACATACACCACTTCCTATTTTAATAAGAATTCAGTGACTAAACACATAACCTGCTACCTGACAGTGACTTATGACCTATATCTTTATCACATCCCAGTCTTGGGGAGTGGGGACCATGACCTGAGAGTCTCGCTTTGAACAGGAGGTGGCCTAACTTACACAGGATGTTCTCTGGTGAGTGTTTGCTGCTAAATTAGTTATAATAATGAGTATCTTAACATATATCTATGAAGTTATTATAAATGACAACTTTTTATAAAGACAGGAATATTTTCTATCATAGGGAATACCAATTTCTTAGCTGTTTTAAGACATCATATCTCAATTATTTGTATCAGCATGAAAATACTGATCCAATGGGCTGTTTGAAAAATATACATTTGGGTGTGGAGATTTAAATATATTATCATTTATTGACCAGCGAAAGTGATCTTAATGGAGGCAGGAAAACTTGGCTCAAGCAAACACATGTTCATAATGAACAGAAACATGTATTTTCCCTAAGTATTAGCATTAGGCTCAGCCTTATATAATAGAAAACCAAACAACAGTGGCCTTAAGATGACAGGTTAATTTCTCTCCTGCATGAAACTAGCTGTCTTTCAGGGCCGGGTCTGGTGTCCCCACTGTGTCGCAGAGCCAGCTTTAGTCCAGGATGGCTGCTGGAGCTCCCAGTCCCAGGCTTCAGGAAGCAGGGAGGTGGGAAAGACACCTTACTGCCCTGGGAGATCTGGAACTAAGAAAATATTCCCTTACTTTAGCGGAACCCCCACCCCCTCCCTGTTTCCTGGGGCTGAATCTGCCAACCCCCTCCCCAGCCTGGGACTGAGAAAATACCCACAGCTCACCCTTCTGGTCTTTAGCAACATTTCACCTTGATGTAATGTCAGAGTCCTCTGAGTCCTCAGAGCTGGGGTCTCCTGCGTGATGATCCCTCATCCGGGGCCATTGCTTTCCCTGGACCTGTAAAAATGTGACCCAGTCATCCGGCCCTCCCCACACCCCTGCCAAGCCTCATAGCCTCCCTGCCTCGGGGGAGGGGGCCTTCTCCTCAGCGGCTTGGCTCTCCTGGGTGACCCAGGCTGTGAACGCAGACAGACAGCGCTGGGCGTGGGGGCGTAGGGCATCCTCCCTTTAAAGCCTGCCGAGCGCGTGGCCCTGCAGCTCACCAGGAAGCCTTCTCTCATTCCTCCATCGGCTTTCGCTGCTCCTTCCTCCCTGTTCTTGTCACCTGGTGCCTGTGTTTAGCCGTATTTTTTTCTGCCTTGTATTAGAGTTAGCTGTTTACTTGCTTGCCCCTCTTGCTCCCCTCCCCAGCCTGTACCAGCTTCCCCAGGGCAAGGGGCCAGACTTTATTCCTTATTGTTTTCCTAGCATGTAGCACAGCACCTGATGTTCAATAGACACATTTTTTTTAAAAAGCTTCTCCTATTAAAAATGACACAATAGAATTTTAGAGTTAAGATGGCATTAGGCCAAACTCCTTTGATATACCATCTCCCAAATTCCCAATTTGAGAGCTAATAAAGACATAGAAAAACACAAAAACTCAGAACCTTTCCGAAAAAGTGGCAAATTGTTGGCAGGAGTCTGGGAGGAATATTCTCTACTGGGCAGAGTGGCACAGTCAGTGGCTCATGCATGCCTTGCTCTGTGAACTGACGCAGAACCTCCAGGGAGGGCGCATGTAGGAGGAAGGATTCACCCCTACCCACTGTGCAGGGTTGTTCCTACAAGAAAGTATCGGCACCTCCTATCCTGCAGGCCCGGCTTTCTGAGGCAGCCACTTCTGGCCACCCTCTGCCCTTCCGTTAGACCCCATCTGCCGTGATCATCCGGAGACAAAACTCAGCCCCTGTGAGCAGGGAGCAGCATGGGCGTGGCCAGGGGGCCTCTGGGAGGCGAGCGCGCCGCTGTGTGGGTGCTGCAGGTGCGGGGGGTGTGGTTTATTTAGCTGCACCGTATGTACAGGAATGTGGATGCGTTGTAATAATTACATTGCATTAACCCGGTTGGAATGTCTTTGACTTTTCAAAAGGGGAGTGTAATGCATTTCTATTTATTCTGGCTTTTTGATGTTTTGGTTTGTGCTTTGTCATGTTTCCTTTATGTTTTGCCTTCTGTGATGTGCATAATGATTTATTTGTTTTTATCTTCTGTGATTTGGAAAGTTTACAGCCTACTGTTATAATTCTGTCAACACCTACAAGATTGTGAAAAACTTCCTTAAACCTACATTTCTCTATCAGATTCCCAATAAATCTATAAATTTTGCCTCCTTTACAAGCTAAGGTGAGGAACTTTCCAGCTCCCTCCCAGAGGTAGTGAAAATCATTCATAGCTCCACCTTCCAGAGATAAACACTGTTAAAGAGTTTGGTATATGTTCCTATAGATTTTTCTGTAGACATTGTAGCATATATTATTATTATTACTGTAAATTGGGATCATACTATCCATTTAAAAAAATTTTTTTATTGTGAACAAATTCAATGTATGGCAAAGTAGAAAGAATAATAACAGCTACATCCATGTATCCACTGCATAGATGCAATAGTTACTAACAATTTAACAGTTTGCCTTATTTATTTCCCTTTTATTTCTTTTGGTATCATTAATCTACAGTTACATGAGCAACATTATGTTTACTAGACTCCCCCCATCGTCAAGTCTCCACCACATACCCCAGTAGTCACTGTCCGTCAGCGTAGTAAGATGCTGTTGAATCACTACTTGTCTTCCCTGTGTTGCACAGCCCTCCCCGTGCCCCCCCACACATTATGTCTGCTAATCGTAATGCCTCCATTTTGTTTTTTAACTTGCTCAGTGGGGTGCATTCCCTTTCTACCCAACTTCTATAAATGATCTGGGGGTGTTTCCTCCTGGCAATCAAGAGTAGCCTGACCTCTTGGACCCGATACACCCATTGGTGATTGTGTGATGCCTTTATCCTTGAATGGCAAACCAGCTGTGTAGGGTATTCTTTGGTCACAACCTTTCACAGTACAACAACCCTTTGAAGTAAGTAGTGGCGGCATTCCCATTTTAAAGATGAGGAAAGTGAGGGAGTCTGGAAACTTGGGAGGTTAGGTGACTTGCCCAACTAATATATGGTGGAGCAGTAGCCAAAACTCAGGCTAACGCCCTTGCTTCCCTGTGTCATGGGAGAAACATTGGAAAGGAAGTCTTGGGGCCCCCTTCTGAAAAATCACCCCCCACTGCTGATCCAAGCCCTCAAAATCAGTTCCTCCAAGAAACATTTACTGAACCCCCTGTGTCCTGGGCCCTGAGGATAAGACATGGCCAAGTGTTTAAGTAACTCATGAGCTCAGATGAGCTGGCAGGGATAGAGGCGAGAAGGAGGGTGCCGTGGGAGCCCAAGGAGGAGCGCTGGTGGTGGGAGGGTTAGGAGGTGCCTCCAGGTGGATGTGGTAGCCAACTTGAGTCTCAGAGGATGGGAAGAGCTGGCTTGGTAAAGGGGTTGATGGGATGGCAAGGGCAACCAGGGCAGAAGAACAGCCTGAGCAGAAGTCTAAAAGAAGCACCGGAGAAGCACGGTACAGGCGCTCATTCTGGCACTGCTGACTCCCTGTCTCCAGTGCCCCACCCCATCTCCTCCCCCCATTACCAGAAAGCCATTTTGTTCAACAGGGAGGTAGGCTCCGTTGGTTGTCAGAGGTGGGTATCTGAACATGCCAGTCAGAGCCCACTTTCCTCCAGGATGTTTGGACTTGGGTCAGATTGTCTGTCCGCAAGGCCTAATGGTATAAGATGCAGCCCAGAGCAGGTCATGGCAGTAGTGTGCAGGGGGTGTCAGGAGAGTGAGAAGACCACGCTGTGGGAAGTCTGAGCAGTGGGTCTACACATCACTGAAGTCCAGCCATGTGCCCAGCATGGGCTTCCATGACATATGCCAGGTCTTCTTAATGCATTTCTCATTTTTTCAGATTGTCCAAATTGGGTTTCTGTCACCTGTAGCCGGAGATCACTGTGTGGCACAGTTCCTGAGTTGGACTCAGGAGAGGGTCATTCACACTGACTCAGGATGACAAAAGGAAGCTGTCTGGTTCATTTACCAGGAGAAATTCAGCTGCTCACTGACTCAGGCATGATTGCTTGTGCCCCTTTCCCTAGAGAAAAGCCACCTGGGAACCTGCTTGATAAACAGGCCCCAGTGCTAGCAGCGATTTAAAAAAAATTTTTAATCGAAATATAGTTGAAATACAATATTATGTTGGTTTCAGGTACACTACGTAGTGATACAGTTATTTACATTATTAAATGCTCACCATGATAAGTGTAGTTACCATCTATCAACACACAGATTTTACAATACTTTTGACTATCTTTCCTATGCTGTACTTTCATTCCCATGATTGGTTTATTTTATAATTGGAATTTTGTACCCCTTTATCCCCTTCCCTGTTTTTTACGTCTCCCTACCCTTCCCTATGGCAACACCAGTCTGTTCTCTGTGTTTATGAGTCTGTTTCTGCCAGCAGGGATCTTCATGGCTGGTGACATCAAGCTAGGATTGCCCAGGCAATTGGTAAGCTATTTCTGTTAAGGGCCAGATAACTTTTTAGGCTTTGTGGTCTCAGTGGCCATTATTCACCTCTGCACTGCAGTGGAAAAATACCAGACAATACATAAATGAACAAGCATAGTCATGTTCCAATAAAACTCTATTTATAGACATTGAAATTTGAATTTTATATAGTTTCTATGTGTCTATATTACTCTTCTTTGGATTTTTTCAACGATTTAAGAATATAAAAGTCATTCTTAGCTCTCAGACCAAGCACAAACAGGCAGTGAGGTTCAGATGTGGCCAACCACTGGCGCAGGGCATGAGCCCTTATGCCAGGAAGGAGGGTGGTTGTCAAAGGGGCCGGACACTGGGGCTGGCCAGCTGGCCAGGGACACTGCTGGAGCCCCAGCCCAGGCTTACCACACTGGACTCCTTTTCTCTCTGGCCATTCAGACCACCCTCTTCAGTCCACACCCTCCTGCAGATGAATGAAGCTCAGGACCTATGAGTGGGCTTAAGTGCCTAACAACACAACCAGCCTGGCTTTCCACACTGTAGGCTCAGACCTGCTTGGTGCAGCTGCTCCTGACACATCCCAGGGCAGGTGTCCTGCCCCCAGTCCTGTGAGAGGCACATCGTTTAAGCCCACAACGGAGGGGCCAAGGTGAGCCTTCTGCCAGAGGCCAGGCAGGGCATTGGCCAGCTGCGGTCAATGATTCAGGGCATGGCTTGTAAACATGAGTGGTCCTAAAACACCCAGAGAAAGCTACTGTTAATGGTGGGCTCTGTGGCTGGAGACTGAGTAGATTCAGGAGCTGAGGTGGCTGCAGGCGGCCAGGTGCCAGTTAAAGTCACAAGGGAGTAGAGATTGTGGTGAGAAAGAAAGGTGTGTGGGAAAATATAACAGACTGGGTGCCCTGGAGCCAGACAGACAGCTGACTGAGAGGTAAACACAGCAGCTGAATCCCAGAACTGCCCAGTTGCTGGCCGTTCTTGAGGCTTGACTAGGGTCTTCACTGTGTCTTCCTAACCTCCCCCACCTTACCTGGGGTATTCTGGGTGATCCCACATTTCTTTGATACACTCTCCCATACCCAAAGCTGTGACTGGAACAGGTCATTTCTGCTGCTGGCTGGGTGCATCCCTTGCACATGACCTTCTGATTTTACTCTCAGAGAGATCTTTAAACATCAGGTGGGGTCTCCTTGCGGTCTTGGTATCTGTGGGTTGGAATCTTGCCTCAGCCACTTAAACTCACAGATGGATGACCTGGGCCTCACTTTCCTCACCTCTTAAATAGCCATCTGAAGCACACTCCATTTTTTAGGACAGTGGTGAATGTTATCTGAGTTCTATGCTCCCGAAAGGCAGTGATGGTGAAGAAATTCTCCTACTGCTTTAAGCTCTGGGGAAACAGCTAACTGCAAAGGACCACCTTGCTCTAGTATATTCCAAGAAAAACCCATCTCCATCCTTTCTTACTATTTCCATAAGACTTGCGGATGACTCCATTGTTTACTTGCCTCTTTAAAACCCCAAGCTTCCTTCCTTTTCTTTGAGATGTTCCTCCTTCATGAACATTTTCTCTATTGCAACAGCCTAAATAAAATGTCCTTCATTGCCTGGCTCCTTTTGCTTTCACAATTACCAAAAGTTGCTGTGAGCGTCCATTAGCTGGGGTATTGGAGTCCTAGGTTCCAG